AGGTAATTGCCACTGAGATTAAACACTTTAGCCATCAGCACAACTTAATACTTAGTGATGAGATTAAGGATGATATATGTTGTGATGGTTGCATACGACCTATCTCCACTGAATTTTACTATTGTATTGAATGTGATTATTCCCTCCACAAGTTCTGTGCTGAGTTATTAATAAAGACAAGACATTGGAGTTTGAAAACCACCCTAACTCTCCATTATTATCGCCTCTTTTTTTGTTGTTGGTGTGGTTTTCGTTGTAGTGGGTTTAGCTACATCACAGATGATGATGCCAACTCCATGTGCATCAGATGCTTTGAAGTTCCTGACAACTTCACCAATCAAGGACACCAGCATCGTCTCTTTTATGACTGGAAACATGATGGGGAATGCAATAGCTGTGGAAGTAAAAGACTTGGTTACTTTAATAGATGCAAGGAATGCAACTTTTTCTTGTGTGAAAGGTGTACTGTGCTACCGCTTACAACCTGGTACAAGTATGATGAACATCCTCTTGCACTCACTTATCATGATGATCATGTTGTGGATCAATGTGTTTGTGAGATATGTGAGGAACCAAGAGACCCGAATCACTGGTTTTATCACTGTGAAATTTGTGAGCATTCTGTGCATCGCTCTTGTGTTCTGGGGAGATCCCCATATGTCAAGCTTGGATTGACTTTCACATGTGATTTGCATCTACACCCTCTCACCTTTGTGAAGGAAGATTTTGACTACTTTAAATGCAACAGATGCGACAAGCGTTGTAAAAATGTGTTCTTCAAATGTTCAGAATCATACTGTAAATTCGCTTGCCACTTGCATTGTGCTTAGTCCCCAGCATGGCAATGACAAAGGTTTGACAAAGTGTTGTTTCTTCGTAAATTCTCCATCACTGAGGGGATTTTTCTTTTTATCTGTGTTTTTAAGTTTCTTTTTCTAATGTGCAATGTGCTTTTTTCTATTGTTTGGAATGGAGTTTGTAATATTCAAATAATTGAGTGCTTGTTTTTTTTCTTTGCATTATTTTTGTTTTTTTTTTTTTTTTTATAATATATATTTATTTACGCTTGCATATACCTTACATTCAACAAAGATTAGATAGTTTTTTAATTGAAATCTCTAGTGTTTCATGTTTAGTTAACAAAATTTTGATTTCACATTGCAAAAGAATATATATATAAAGTGTTCGGAATGCACAAATTTATTCTTTTCATATCATTTCCTTTTTGTAATCGAATCGAAAGAAAAATGAAAGATTTGGCAACTCATTTCGATTTCTGGCTAGAAAATAAAAAATTACAAAATCTAATGCTAGCTTGAGCCCAGTTGTTTGTAAAATTGGCCTTTCAAAATGAGCCTAATTAATCAAAATCTAGTGCTTGAGCCCAATACTCAAACCCCATTTTTTATTTTAAACTTTGTCTGTCAAATAGTTCAAACTCTCCTACCAACAGAATCTGCCATTCTAGCATATATTAACAGCAGCAAAATTTGATGTACTTCTGATCTTCCTTTTTTTGAATACCGGACCTTTAAAACAGGCTGCATAGAGATTAGAAGATTTCTGAGAAAATACTTATGGTTGAATTTTGTTACGACTTATAAATTAACAACAGATTTGTTTATAAAGAATTATTTACATTAATTTTATCTTATTGTTTAGTTAAAAAGAAATCATTTATAGTAAGATTAAAACAAATTACAAAAGAATTATCTCTCTATAATAGCCTTAGAAAATGAAATCATAGTTAAAAGACAAGATACAATTCCTTGTAATGAATCTTTCGTCAACTAAATCTTTACCTTTAAATTAATGAGTAAATGCATTATGTAGACTATGGATTTTGTAGTAGAATAAAATCCCGAGGAGTATAGGCATCCACCTTTCAGTGGGCGGAAACAAGGAGACCATGGGAACCAGTATAATCTAAAGCTCTCACTTCTAGATGTTAAAAAAGAGGAAGAAACAGCGAAGGAAGTTTTGGAATAAGAAACGGGGAATAGAAGATGAAGAAAAAAGAACCTTCACTGAATTTATACCTTGATCTACCCATCTCTTTCACAGTCCTAACTAAGAACTCTGCACAAAAAAGAATCTCTTGACTCAAACGCAACCACTTCTCAATCTGTGGAATTTCAATCAAAGATGGTAAATTTGAATAGAAACTGATCATCGATTGCGACAATTACCTTTCATGTAATGTATTTAAGATTTTGAGATATTATGGCAACATGATATCTTAAATCAATTTGTATATACAAGATTTATGTTCGATTAAAAAAAGGGTGAATTTTTCTATAGTTTTTATTAATACTTTGAAATTCTTTGTGTTTAATAATTCACATTTGATATGGTAGGCAATAACTTTTTGTATTAATACTAAGGCTCCTTTCTAGTGTTTCTATGTGGCACTGCATAAGTAAAATGTAAATGTTTTTCAACTTGATAAACTATACAATTCTTATTTAAAAAAAAAAAAAAAAAAAAATCTAACCATCTATACTAAGTCTAAGAAATTTATAAAAAATTACATAGGGGTAAGTAGAGAGTCTAGAGACCATATGGTAAGGTATGTGATCTCACAATAGGCTTCATGCCATCATCATGTGCAAGTGTGCATTAGATCAAGAAAATGATTAGCACAAATACCAAAATGATGGATTTTTAGCCATCACAAGTCAAACAGTTGGTTCTTATATATACATACATACTCAGCATGAGGGGGTAGTTGGGGTACCCAATTTCTGGGACTAAGAAACTGAATTGATGCCTTTTTATCTACCCATCTCGTTCACAGTCCTAACTAAGAACTCTGCACAGAAGCACAGTTGGCCCTTCTTGACTCAAAACGCAACTGCTTCTCAATCTGTGGAATTTCTATCAAAGATGATGAATTTGAGTTGAAACTGATCATCAGTTGTCCCACAATTACTTTTCGTGTAATTTATTTAAGATTTTGAATACATAAATATATATTATATTTTGTAAAATTCTTAACTTACATAGAATCATTGAAGTCCATTCATAGAATCATTGAAGTCCATTTATTTTTAATACTACACAAATCAAATTGGTCTATCTTTAACTTTTGTTGTGCTCAAATATATATTATTAGAAGTTATTGTATAAAATTTCATCGCAATTTCAATTATACTCTTTATATCAATTTCAATGATAATTAGGTATTAAAAAACATTACAAATAATAATACACACTCATCATAAATTAGCCATATCAAAAGTATAAAAATTTTAAAAATCTATATTAAATTAGTTATATAACTTCATGATAATCTTAATTGACTAAATTAATTCATATTAAAAATAGTAAAATAATAAAATATAAAATAATCATAATGAACTAATAATTCACAACAAAATAAAGAAATTAAATCTAAGAATGTTGACTTCTTTATTGATAAATTCTTATAGTTGTCTGTAAGTTAGTCTCCAAGAGTAACCCGAAAAGGCTACTAAAAGCCTCTCAATTCTGTTAGGAGTTTAGAAAACTTAATTAGAATAGACATAAGACACACCAAAATAACAAAAGTTTTATGCAAAATTGCTGAAAATGCCCAAGGGGTAGACACCTTAAGCTGAGGTGGTGCTGACACCTTTAGTAAATCGCTGAATAGAGTCCGTGTCGGACTTCTGGGCCAAAATGCAATTTTGTTCCTTCATTTGTAAAACTGTTCTTGTCCCTCATCTTTCATCAATTTAACACCTTGATCCTCAAAATTTTGATTTATTCAGTTTGGTTTTAAAAGTTCTGATTTCTTTCAAGTCAGTCTTTTTTAGTATGAAAAATGAAAATTATGTAAAATTAAGTAAAATTTCATAAAACTCATTTTAATATCAATAATATCAAGGCAAGAATTCTACATTATATATATATATATATATTGAACTCATCAATGATCATGTGCAAGTTCATGTTGATCATATGAGATTCCTCAAGATCTCCCTTTTTTCAACCGTGGTTAAAAAATCCGTACAAATAAGCATGCCTAAAAACTTTAAGGGAAAGAAAAGATTATAGAAGAAATCTTCCTCAAAATCAAGGAATAAAATTGTCAATGGCTTTATAAACCTTTTACATACATCAGCATGGTTGTAAACTAATGACAGCCTCACAGAAGTTGTTATCTTCAGACCATCTTGTCCACACTTTCCTTCCAACCAGTTGGTGAATGGTAGCTGCATCAGCAGGTTCATCATTTGCTGAAAGGGAACCACGGTTACTGAACTGCCTATTTCCAGCAGGAACTCCAGAAGGATAATGCATGGACTTTGCTGAGGATAAGCAAGGTAATGATTGAACTGTTAAAGAAAGATGAAAGTAAAAACAAGTCAGCAGAAGGCCAATGTAGAATCTTCATTGCACACCAATAATTAATAAAGGTACCGATTGTGAAGTCTTCCGTTTCTTGCAGGATGCTGAAACACCAGGACAGGGTAGAAGATCATGAACAGGCTGAGTTGCATTTAGCCTGGCCACTTGGTTGCCACCTGATTGTCTCCAGTCCTTGATATCATCACCCAACACCTAACATGTTAAACCCAGAAGCAAGAAAACACCACAGATCAGCACTGACCTAATCCTTAAGCATTAGAACCTTATCCTTCAGATTATATCATCAGCATTGACCTTGCTCAAAAGTTCACTGTGTTCATCATCTGAAACCCGTAGCTCTTTCCTAAGCTCTGTTATTAAACCTTCCTTCCCCTGAATTAGGAAAATAGAGATCATTAGAACCAGATAACTGCAGCAAAAAATAATAAGAGACATGTCAACGGAGTAGAGTAAATACCCATGTAATGGCATCAGACTGAGCTTTAAAAGCATTTAGTACAGCACAGTAAGCTTCTTGTTCAAGTTGATGCATTTGGGCCTCCATTTCAGATTGCATCCTGAAGTATGGGCCCAAACCTACAGCAGATCTTCCATTCCCAGAAACATAGTCCCCTCCTGAAACTCTATTTTGATGTGATGGAGGGAAATCATGATCAGTACCTGTCATTATTTCAGACAAAGAATACATAATTACAA